TTTAAATATTATTTACAAGTTGATCAATAAAATAATACAATTCAACTATATAAAATTAAATAACCTCGAAAAATAACTGAGATTAAAACTGCGCAATATATACATATCTATTTTTATATTGCGTATATGTACAATATTACAAAGCATAGACAAAAGCCGAGTGGAACAGTCAATTAATTTAGACCAATACTTAATTTAAAATTCACTTGTGAATATTATTGTCTAAGCATTTCTGAGTTCACTCATAAATATCATTTATTTCTTCTCTATTTAAATTTGGAAATTTCTTACACTTTTATTTTCAATTTTAATTATTATTTTATTTCAATTGTTATCATTGAAATAAACCAATGTTGATATTATTAAATATTAAACAATGTTTTTTTTTTATTCGTTTTCTTTTCCTCTTATTTACTCGTGTATCAATAAAATTTCAAATAACCTCTTCTCCAGCACTGTGACCTATACGTATGTCGCATGTAAGTGCATTGTGATACATGGATTTAGATCTAATTATATATATGCGATACTGTTATTATATTATTGAATATTTTCTTGAATATTTGAATAAGGCGCCGAAATGTTTAATTTATGTAATACGAAATGTTTAATTTACGTAATACGTATCGGTATTAACAGGAAATGTATGCACACATACGTCGTATTTATATCTATTTTGATAACTTTTTTAAATTACTTCGAAGTATTCCAATACGAAAATACATATATAAATTTTTAAAATATAACGTTACCCATTCTTTTTCGACTATCAAGTGATTTTTAATATGTGAATATTTTAAAAAATTAATATTATAACTTTTACACATATAATATCACAAAGATTTTCAGGATGAATTTTGAAATGAAAATCTGATTGTAAGAGCAAAGAATGACCTCTGCGCCATCTGTTTTACAAATAAATAAATGATACTTAAATGGTGGAATTTATAAGTGAATTAATTACATACTGAAAATCTGTTTTTATACTTTTATTTAAAATCATATAATTCATATAATTATCATATAATTCACCATACATAAGATAATATAAAAATTTGTACAATCAAATTGTAGTTATTTTTAGACCACTGTAAAATATTTTGACACACTATAAAATATTTTTATTTACAATTTATTCACGATATTACAAAAATATATCTGTTACAATATGACAAGTTCAAAGGTATGTATGTTTTCACAAAATTTATTATCTAATCCTTAAATATTTAAATGCTTTTTTAATGTTAAATACATTTGTGTGTTTATTATCAGAAAGACAGTAGCTGGTTGATGCCATCATTCGATTATGAACCTATTAAAAAAACACCAGATGTTAAATGCAGCATTTCACAAGTATCTGAAACTAGTGTTTCAGAAAGATCAAGAGAATATGATATAATTCCAGAAAAGAAGAATACCAATAATTTATCTGCATTGCTGAAAGCTTGCGAACCACAAACTAGTTCTGAATTAGTAGTTAGCAGACAGAAACGAGGAGAAATTTCAGATTGGTTACAATATAAAGTAAAAAAAGGAAAACCTGCCATATTAATTTTATCTGGTCCATCCGGTTGTGGAAAAACAGCAGCTATAACGGTTCTTGCAAAAGAAAATGGTTTTAATATTACAGAGTGGATCACTCCAATTGACCAGATTATAGCTGAAAATAGTAATTTCTTTCGTTGTTAAATTAATAAAATAGTAATATCTGATAACAATGAGAGTGATGAAATAATTCTAAGCTTCTATTCAGACAGAATAACTAGACAAGGAGAAAAATTTGAAGAATTTTTAATTAGAGTTACTCGATATAGTTCAGTTTTAAGTAATTATTCTAGTCGTTTACTTCTTGTAAAAGATTTTCCAAATGTCTTTTATGAAGATAAAGAGGGATTTTACTCTCTGTTGGGGTAATTGCATTTATTTATTTAATTTTTTGGTGTTCTTGATTGAAATATAATTATCATAAAATTTTTTAGGAGATATTTTGAAATGGGAAGAGAACCTATAGTCTTTATATGTACAGAAGGAGGAAGTTTAAAATTGCTTCAGACATTATTTTCTTCTAGTATAAGAGAAAAATTTGGCATTGATTTGATTAAGTAAGTTATTAAATGTAATTGTGTCTGCATCATTTTTTTCTTTTTATTGGATACTTGATACGCAATCATTGTATTCTAGTGTAAATTCTGTCACACAAACTGCAATGAAAAATGCATTGAAGAGAATAGTTAATATTTTAAATTCAACTGCTGGGCATATGTTACATGTCTCACAACACAAAGTCAATGAAATATTATCAAATAATATAGGAGATATTAGAAATGCTTTGTTAAATCTTATTTTCATCTCATTAAAAGGTAAATGTAATCAATTATAACAATGAATTTAATTTTTAAATTATATTTTATTAATATCATTAGTACCCGAGGAACAAGAAAATAAATGCAATATTCGAGAAGAAACTTTAGGACTTCTTCACGGTATCGGTCGAGTAATTAATCCAAAGAGTAAGCAGATATTTTATATTTATTAAAGTTTGAATATAAAACTTGCTGATTTTTAATTAAATAAATTTGCAGGAATCCAAATTGAAAACAATTGGAAATTTGTACATGATCCTGATGAATTGGCAACCTTTTTTCAATCACAAGCAACAGTATTTTTAAATTTTCTTCAAGAAAATTTTTTGAATACCATGAGAGACATAGAGAAAGTGGATGTCTGTACAAATATTTTAAGTTTAGCAGATATTTTGAATTCTGAATGGCGAGTATGTATATTATTAATCGTTTAATTGTAAAAATTGCACGTTTTCGTACAAAATTACTATTAACATTTGCAGGATTTTAATTTAAACAAAGTTATTTTATCTTTTTGCATCCGAGGTTTAATGGTAACGAATGAAAAACCAGTTTCTGGATGGAATCCTGTAAGAAAACCACCAAGTGATCAAATCGATGTGTTAGTATGGAAACGTATGATAGTGTATATAATAAAATGTGTATATATAACGTTATAAATATAACGTTATTTGTGTAGGCAAAGATGTCTAGCAGCTGTCGAAATTCGATGGTACGAATCCATAATCAATTTGAAATCAAGAAATATATTGGAAGAACCCGTTAACGACATTGAGGAGATTATTGAATGAAATTCATAGAAATTAGGATGGAAATAAGAAAAAAATACATCGTGTATATTTATTTATGCTTTATTTTCTACTAAAATTGTATAGATGTAAAACATAATATCAGTAGAAATTGAGTTATATAAATTTGATTAAGATCTTTTATTTTTCGAAATGTTTGTATATATCGTTGAATATTGTTTTATATTATTATTTATCTTATTATCACCTAATATGTAACAATCAGTATTAATGCAGAAAAACGAATGTTAGCAAGAATTACATTGATACATACAATAAAAATATATTTTGTGTAATTTATGCATTCTAGACGAATGCTTTATTATAAATGTTCCTTGGCAGTTAGACGACAAAATAATTTAATAGATGTTTTTACTCAAAATTGTTCGTCATAGCGAGTATTTTATTCAAAAAACATAAATCTTACTAGTCTAAATTTTCCTTTATAAATAATCACTAAACGATTATACTTAGTTAACGCTATATTTGTACATCAATGTAAATTTTGTACGCTTACTAAATATGTTGTAAAATGTCGCTTATAAAATTTCTCCTTTCAACTAAAAATATTTCATAGAAAAAATGCAATAACAAGCAGTCTTCCGCTTCAAACATCTTACGTCTTGTATCAACGTTTGTTTTAAAGTATTCAAATAATTTGTATTTTACAGGCAGTCTCATCTGTTAGTCCTTGACAAGACCCAATGATAATTAATTATATACAAAAGTATCTATATTGAAATTTTCGGTATATCGACCGTATTAAAAAAACATCTGCAACGTGATAAAATTTTTCTAATGATAAAATCGAACATTCTTTGTATAGTTTATTGATTCATACCAAAAAGATTAACGACAAATATTGTTAGAATGAGACCAATACGGGATATTTATGTAAATTGATTTAATAAATGAAATGATCGTTTAGAAATACGAAAACTACGAATTTGATAGATTTACTTCTTCTATCGTAGAAATAAGATTATCGAGGCCAAACAGAAAACCTTCCTCGTGGTTGCCTTGTTCCCATGGTTTCCTGTGTGTTACTCGGTGTCCGTTTGGCAACCCACGTGTTTTGGCGAAGTCAATTAACCAAACGCCAACTTTATCATTGTCGTAGATCATGAAAATACTACTGCCAATTATCTGAAAAGGCCCAAATTTAAATTACAAAAAAGTTAAAGGAGACGAAAGAGGAGAAAGCAGAATATTCCCGATGTTCGAGATATTTTTACAATTTACACGTACGACTGTAATACGTACCTCGTGAGTTTGAAAGTACTCGGACATCTCGATCTTCGAACGAAGATTTTTCAGGCGTGCAAGCAGCTTCTCACGAGTGGTCTCGCACGTTCCCAGAAACAGTTTCATAGTGTCGAGCACTTCCTGATGCGACTTCACTCGCTTCAGATCGGTGATCGGCGGACCACCCGGTAATTTCATAGCCTCGATTCGAAATCCGTGACTACAGGTCGAGCTCTGTTGCTCGCGGAACTGCATGTACCGCAATTTAGTGACAGCGCGTTTCTCGTGCTCCTGCTCGGTCGGGGCGTTCGGATCAACGGCGATCATCTTCTGATACAGATCCGATCTGGCGGTCGTCTTCGACACCTCCGATTCGAGGAACGTTCTCGTGCCCATTTTGATGTCCATGACATGCGGATCGTTAAAACCAAACAGTAAATCTTGCAGTTCGATGAACGTGTCACCTTTGTACTCCACCTCGCGATAATATCTAAAATGTATGAATAAAATATTGAAAAATTGATAAATATCGTTCGAAGGCTCATTACATTAATTATAATTAACTTACATAATGCTTAAGCTATCTGAGAGATAAATGATATAAATTGATTTACGATCATTTATATTTGAGAGACGCTTTAAAAAAATATTTCTTTTTTTATCGCGACACTCGAGATACGATGAAACTTTTTTTACTTAAGTAATCATCAATTTAAATACTTTATTCACCTCGGAATGCAATCCCGTAGTTCGTTGTCTTTGCTCAGGGCTTCGTAAACGATTCTTTCCGTGTTTTCTGCACCTCCGGTTTTTCTTTTCCAAACTGTTCCAGGCCCAGCCGGAGCAAAACCATCCGGATGTCCGGATAATTGAAACCAAGATTTTAATCTATTTTTTAATAAAACGTCGCTGGCTGGAGCTGTCAAGTCCAAAGCGTTCTACAAAAAAAAAAGAAAAGAAAACGTAATACAAATTTTCACGTACAACTGATAACAAATTGTTACTAACAAATAACTACATTTACAATTTATCTGTTTGCAACTACTTAACAGTACACGCGTAGAAATGAAAGAAAATTGGACTTTAGCTGGTGTATCTTTTCAACAGATAATGCAGTATGTTAATCAGACAATTTTTACGAATTACTTAATTGTTCAAGTCGAATGGAAAATTATGATTCTCCTATTCATAAACGACACGAATTCTAATTAAATAAAAATTAACAAAATTAATAATAAATTGAAATAAAATAAAATAAAATTAATAATAAATTAAAATAAAATAAAATAATTAAATAAAATTAAATTAAAATAATAATAAATTAAAATAAAATAAAATAATTAAATAAGATAATTAAATTAATAATTAAATAAAATAAAATTAATTTCGTTTCTTATAAGAATGAATTTTTGTACAGTTTCGTAAGATATTCCTGCTTTCAATCGCTAACATCAGTAAAATAATTCTACTTTTCACATATATACTAATTTTCACATAACTAAATAAAGGAACGTTAAAAATTCCCAATGATACAACTGATTATTAATTTAGTTTGAGATCGATTAAAACTAACTAATCTAGGCGGATTTCATTTCCTTCTCTCAATTAAGAATTCCGATTTTATTTTATTTTCATTTATTTCTCTCAGTTAAGAAATCGAGACGTTTGTTTAAAAGATGAGAAGAGACGAGTACCAGTGCTAGATACTTCAGCGAAAGATCCTCCTCTGGCATAGTGGTATCGGAAAGAACCAGTGGGAATTGTTCCAATTTTTGCATGGTCGCTGAATCATTGGGCAACTTGACGAGGGCCCCGGTCGAGCTCGATCCGACACTGTTCGACCGATTCGAGCCCATAGACGTGCCCCTTCGCCACTGACGGAAAGCACTATAGGTGCTGCTCGACGAAGCATCCTTCTGCCTTCGTTGCTCCTTGTGGCTCGAATTATGATTCAACCGCGTTTGCTCCTTGTTCGAAGGCTGTAACCAAAAGCATCTACTAAGAATTTAATCTAACCGACATTGATTCCATTGTAGTCGAAATCGTTGCCAAATTGTTTGATTTAATCTAGTCTATTTAGCGTTATTATCGCTGGTCTATTCAAAAATAACCTCTTTACCACGAGAAAAAATTATACCTGTTATTGTACATTCGTATCTATTTTTACATGATTTATTTATTTCATATCGTCAATTAACATCTGTATTTATTAATATATTTAATTTGTTAATATTTATATTTAGTTTCGTATAATTTATTTAATGTGCGTACGTATGGAATTAAGTGTAAACACTTCTTTCGAAAAATACAGATAATTACTACGGAATCACTTTTCCTGTTTTCAAAAACACTTCTAATTAGAATTCGCGTATGGAGTTAATAAAAGTGTAAACATCTCGTTCGAAAAATACAGATAATTGCCACGCAATGACTTTTCCTATCATCATCAAGGAGAAAGGTAATTAAACACAGGACGACTGTTTCCGGCATTCACTCGGTGAACCGAGTCGTGAGACCGACCTAACCTAACATATCGAGTCTCAGAAATTGGGAATATCAAACGTAACAGCGGTAGCAAATGTATGTCACGACATCAATTACATTTGAAAATGACTCTCGTATCTTCTTTTTATACAGGGTATCCACTGAAAGAACGATATATCTCGTATCTTCTTTTTATAAAGGGTATCCACTGAACGATATATTACTTTTACAAACACGTTCTTTTCAACTTTTTATTATTTCATTCGATGGATTTTCTTCAGTATTACGTGTGAGAAACAACATCCCTAAAGTAACCATTATTTTCCTGCTCACAAACACAGGCTCTTTCCACGAACAAGTTATAACCTTTTCAGACCCTTCAGTCTTTCAGTGGCCATCCTATAGAACGAAGAATACGCGCGACTGTGGTGCCCCCGAACTAGTGCGTTTCGCAATCAAATACACGGTTCATTGGATGGTAAATCGAGGGCATTTTTCGACAGATGGAGAAGCGAAACGAAATCCGACGTCGATCGGAATTTAGGCTCGCGAATCGCTCAGTGGCTGGCTAATTGGTGTATCGCGATTCGCGTTCAATCCGATTAAAGTGTGTCACGTGTATCGCTCGCTCCGAGTATCAAGCGACAATCAGCCACGATTGCAACAATTGAACGGTTGACGCGGGTAATGTTAGGATAATTGCGCGTAAATTGGCAACCGGAACCAGGCGTACGGAACATACGTGCATACGCACGGAGAGTACATAAAGCATGAAACAGACGAGAACGAGTAGTAACCTTTTTCCCTTGAAATCTTCGGGCAATTTTTTGAGAAATAATTCGTAGAAATTTGTGCATAACCTTCACAAATCAGCATAAGTTTCATCGTCGTAAAAAATGAATTAGCAAAAATTTTGTTGATAATAATTTGTGTTCGATTGAACGTTACTATGCGACAGGGTGGCCACTGAAAAACTGAACTGATATTGAACAAAAATAACTTTTACAAACACATGTCTTTAAATTTTTTTTATTATTTTATAATTAATGGATTCTATAATTTTATAATTCTATAACATGAAGGAAACAAAAAAACGAATAAGTTATGACAGTTTTTTAGTGGCCACCCTATATATATATATATTACAGTTAGAATTATTACATGTCGAAATGAATATTTAATTTGTAGCGTTTTTTATTTCGACAAATATTCACAGTATCGAACACCATCGTGGACTACGTCGAATATTTCGAATGTAAAATATCGTCACCGTTCGGAACAGCTCGTTATTATCGCAATGAGGAGGAGCACGATTCGATCGGACAGGTGGTTCGTCGTGGAATTCGATTTCGCGATACGCCATTCATTTTAATTTAGCTGACAAGGCTCGAACGTGAAGACGTGACGAAATCATGCGTCGCAATTTGCCAACACATGATCACCGTATCACAATAGTTGACAAAGGCTGGTGGCGAATCGATCGACATTTATGTCTGAAAATTCATACAATTACACATCACGTGATACGTGATACAAAGCCTACGAGTGATGCAATTATAGAATACAGTGATATATTTATAAGGATTCCATGGAAAATTATATTATATATATATATAAATATATATTATATATTATATATATTATATTATATATATAATATATTATACTATATATTATATATATAATATATATTATATTATATATATTATAATTCATTTACCAGCAAGAACAGATAACTCTCTTTTGTATAATTCTCTCAAGTACATTCAGTATTTATAATAAATTCTTTCTTTAATCAACTTTTATATTTCTTAAAAAAAAAAAAAAAAAAAAAATCGAGAATTTCACTTACGATGACTTAATACATCTGATCGATCGTTATATTCGCGTTTCTTTGCTTCTTTCTTTAGTTCAATAATTTTATCTCCAATTGTTTTAAAATTAAGATTATTTTACCAATTATATACATATTTAATAAATTTTATATCCATTCAATAATAATTAATTTATTTGGAATTTTATCTTCGAGAACAATACGTGCGCGTCGATTAGATATAAAACTGAATTGTAGCTATTTCTTCAACTATTCGGATGAATATGCGTGCGTACGTATTCTTGCATCGTGCGTTACGTGTTTGATCATAGTGAACAACCACATGGCAATCGAGGAGAATTATATCGCGTTGCCGCAACGACTATCGCTCGCAGTGACGACGACTCGCTATAAACAAGATGGAAAATGAGAATAGTTTAAAATTTTTAATAGAAAAAATACGCCATTTTTTTCAGTACTGTACGCTCGTTTAAACACAAAGGGTTATATTAGGGTAGCAACAAGTAATGTCGATTTTTGATACTGTACAAAATTTTATGTAATTTAATTTAATTTTATTTTTATCAAGCCAATACAGTTTCGATCTAATTTAACAATAAGCACGCTAAATGTCAATTTATATTTAACTAGAATATAGGTTATGTTAATAGGTTCAATCAGAGCATAGGTTATGTTATAACCTGTTATATTAAATTTGAAGAAAACGGTATTATTAATACTTGTTAATTTTTTGTTTCTTATTTGAAAGGTTCTTTATTTGTATCGTGAGTCAGTTGACACGACTGATTATGGCAAAACGCGACGGTAGTTTGGAACAATAAAACTCGTTCAATTCTATTATTGGCACGGTATTTCACAATAGCGCCAATATTCTCTGATGCTATGTGAAAACTAAACGAAACGATTCGTTTATGCCACAGGTGTCCAACCTTTCGAGGGCTGCACATAGTTTACACATTTTTTTATTAATTTAACATAACCTATATTATTCACATTGGATATTGAAAACAACTTTTATAGCGAAACGATAGAAACATATAGATTAGATTAATATTAACATTAGAAAAATATATTTATATTAATTAAAAAAATATATGAAAATTTTTAACGAAAACAGTGAGCTTGTTTTTTTTAGATATCAGTTGATCAATATTTACTTTGATACAGGTAGTAGTAATATTTTAAAGAGTACTTTATAATATAGTTATAGTATAGTATAGTTTAGTATATTTTAAAGTATTTTCAAAATGTTCGTCTAAAATTTTTGTTCTTATTTTATTTTTCGCGTGCTTCATATGGGGAAAAATATGCTCGCAAGTACTTGCCAAAAGGAACAACATGAACTCATAATAGAGGACATGTCTGATTTATGCGATCGCTCGGTATCAACGAAACCTACAGTCGAAATTCTAACACCGAGGGCAGAGATCCTATTTGAAATTTTAATGAACACGTGTAAGCGTATGTTAATTCGAGACAATACTATGCCAACGATAAATTTCAATCGTCGACCAACTCTCGCTTGGAAAGACAAGTAAATAAATAATTACCATGGATTTTTAATTATCATGGATTTATTCGCCGTGGATTCGAAAAGGTAAGATGTTTTTCTCAGAGTCCAGGTGTCGGCTGGATATTTCGACTAAATCGATCCGACGGTCTTCGATTTCGATTAAATCGACTTTGTTATTTACGATCAACGAGCGACATTATTCTCCATTCGCGACGTTTCTTTCACTCGAAAAACGTAGAGAAAGAGAAGGATTGAATTCCTTTGTTAGCGACGGACGTGACGAACAACAAATTACGCACCTATGTCTCTCCTCGTAGCCTTCGGCCACGTTGCCACAAGAACGAGGAAAAGAGGCTTGCAACTCGTTTCGTAAGCCCGAGTGTCGCGTTTTACGAAGCATTGACGTCACGGGTGTATTCAGATTGCATTGTCGCAGATAAGTTTCAATCGAGCACCGTTCCAGTTTCAACGCTCTAGCAACGGGAGAGCCAGCCAGATAAGTTCAAAAGCGTGTCCAACCTGATGAAGAATTTCAAGGGAAGAAATTGCACATCAGCTCCCGACAATTGCGTATAGGTTAGGAAGGAGAGTGCAAGGCCCTGTCAGATTTGGCTGAAACTTCACACTGGTAGCGTGGGGTGTCCTGTTTATGAATATATACCATATATATATATATATATATACATATAGGGACAGATACTGTAGGGAGATTTTTACACAATTTACCGACCGGTAGCGGTTGGATGGGTAGTCGATTAATAGGTTACCGGTCGGTAAAGTGTTAAAATATTTATGATTAAAGTTACATCACGTCTGTAGGTATAATTGCAGTTGAAAAAATTATCAAGAGTGGTGGCACAGAGGGGTCGATTTTTCTTCTATTTTATATATTTATTTCTTTTTCACTTCTAAGAATTGATGGGGATAGCGACAGACACTACAAGTGAGCCCTATTGTATCTTAAAATCTTTCGAGTATCTGCCCCTATAACGATATGTCACAAACAGTACACTTAACTCTATCAGTGTACAAAGTTTCAGCCAAATCGTAGATGCCAAAAGCCTTGCACTCTCGTTGCGAGCTTTTAATTGGCAAAACGTGGAAGCACGAAAGATTAATACATAAATTAAATTTTCATTGGAAAATTGAATGCCCGACGACCGAGACGATGCGACAATGACCTCAGCTAGAGGGCGTCGA